TATTCCAAGGTAAAAAGTAGGCATTTTTCAATCATACCTACCCTGAGGATTATTCTGGAATAGATTAAACTATACATTGGTATATACTTGAGAGGGCATTAATCTGAGCTTCTACATTGGTTTGATCTGTGACAACTTTGGTATTCTATCATGATAATGCTTGGTCACTTGCAAAGATTATATCATAAAAGATTGACAACATTATTGTGGAAATATTTCCAAATCTTTCTTATTTTCCACATTTTGCTCTCTCTCTGGTAGTCTCTTATTCCAGACCATCTTCATACACTTGTTCTTAAAACACATGAAGAGATTGAAATTATTCTTTCTTTTCCTCTAAAAAACAAAAACAAAATCTTTGACTCATTCAAAGGAGATTATTGATAATATTGAAGAGACAGATCAAACCAAAAATGAAGTATTGCTACCATATCTTGGTATTTTACAGTGGTGGGAAAGTTACTGAACCTAATGATAACAGGTAAGTGCTGATTATTCGGCACTAAAGGAAAATGAAAAGAAGGTTGCTAAAATATTTTTACCATTTTTATTAGATGCAACAATGTAAAATGACAATATAACATGACATAAACAGAGTACTTACAGTCAGTGAGTTTTGCACTACAATATTTGACCTAAGGTGAGTTGAACTACCATCTATGAATATCTTTGTCCTTTAATGGTGTGAGTCTGGACATTGGTTTCAGCACATTGCTCTAACCACTCTTCAGGATTGAACTGAACCTAACTTCATCATCTTGCGGCCTCAGCCAAGATTGAACTCACCAATACTTTGATTGGCGTAGTTCATAATCTTGTCAAATAGCTGAATTCTTGATGCTTCGCTAGGGCTATCAAGGGTGTTTTTATCGTGACACCATCACTAAATGGATTGCTAACCAAGGCTCAGAGAGACTCCATTCACCCTCCTCTAAGAGCAGGTTTGAATTCAGAGTTGTCCTTCTCCTAGATCAGTTGCCATCCAAGGCTATAGAACCCAGTCTGTCCTGCTATTTACCCATAGCTGGAGGGAGAAGAAAGAGGATTCACACCTTTCACAAGGGTGTTAGCATGTAAGTGAATGTAATGGATTCGACTGGAATTCGAACTCAGCTCTACGATTCCTCAATCCAAGCTGCTATCCATTACTCCACCATGACTTAAGCCCTCTTGGTTATCCCCAATGTGCCAAGGGCATTAACTTAACTCACTTATCTACTCACTAGGTGGATCGTTCTATCTAAAACCCTACATATATTTGTTGTAATGAAAATAATTCATCACACACAAGGCTGTGTAGTCATTTTTTAAACTCTCTCAAAGCTGTAAAATGCATTTTACAGTTTTGATGGCATTTAAAAGTGCCTATGTTGCCTTGTGTGTGATGAATTATTTTCGTTTCTACAGCCCCTTTCCCACAAACAAAACATCACAAGCCTGTAACTACTATATCATTATTTCCATGTTGAGATGAGCTACATCTCTTAGTTTCACCATATCAGATATTTTACAGCTAAGACCTGCTATGCCATGTATACAATACTGAATCATTCTTATTGCCTACATATTGGTAAAGAGGAAGTTTGATAGCATCTTCTCAAAAACCACTACTTTCTAGAACTAATGTCTGGGAAGATACTTCCCCAATTGCTACAATCTTAACTGCATTAATTTTCACCTAATTTTTTTTGTTTTTAATCATTTCACCCTCATCATCATCTTGCGGCCTCAGCCGAGATTGAACTCACTAATACTTTAATCAGTGTAGTTCATAATCTTGTCAAGTGGCTGAATTCTTGATGCTTCGCTAGAGTTATCAAGGGTGTCTTTATCGTGACACCATCACTAAATGGATTTCCAACCAAGGCTCAGAGAAGAGCAGGTTTGAATTCAGGGTTTTCCTTCTCCTAGACCAATTGCCATCCAAGGCTATAGAACCCAGTCTGTCCTGCTATTTACCCATAGCTGGATTTACCCATAGATTTCACCCTAAGCAAGGCAATAAAGCCACTAAGATACAAGGGGTTACTGAGAGTGAGAGAATATGACAAACAGAAAACCATTATTAAGGAGTACAATAAAAGAACAAGAATTAAGAAGACAGAAGATAACAACATTGCATTTAAATTTTTGAAAATCAAAATAGGCTGGAAGCCTGTAGAGAGTTCAACAAGTGATAAGTTTGAGTAAAGAAACTGTTAGCATAGAATTTCTAGTTACATGTAGCAATTTCAACTGTAAAATGATGAGACCGTGCTGCCAATCTAGTACTGCACTTACATTCGTAAAGTTGAAGTACCATAGAGGAAAGTTCATCAGAATAATTAACATGAAAGTATTTATAGAAAAAGCACAGGGAAACTACATTACAATGGTGGGAAAGTGACTGATCCTGATGATGACAGGTAAGTACTGATTCTTCAGAGAAGCCAGAAATCAGAAGGGATTTCCACAGGCGAGAAGTGTGTGAAAAAATGTTAGAATAGACAAGATAGTTACATCTAGGTAGTAAAATGATAAGAATTAGTTGCTAATCTAGTAACAGTTTTAAATTCATGCAATCAAGGCACTAAAGAAAAACTTATCACAACAGTTGCCATCAAAGCACAGTGTGTATGTGCTTATGTATGTGCAGGAGTATATATTGTATGCTCTATATGTATATATCCAAACAAACAGCAAATAAAACACTCCATAAACCCAACCAACCATGATTAATATCCTAAAAATAGAAAAAAATAACTTTATCATTTAAGCACTAGTTTATTAATAACAATGCACAGACACAAGTGTACATGTGCTTGTGTACATGTGTTTGTATATGTATAAATATGCACATGTGTATATCTATATATGTATATGCATGCCTGTATGTGTGTGTGCATGTGAGCAAATGTATAATTACAGGCATATACACACACATTCAAATAATAATAAATAAATATTTAATTATAAACCTAGCCACCTACAATTAATACTTAAGATACCACCTAACCAGATAAGAAAACAGAATAATAGCTAAGTGAAGACAAATATTTACTTATCATTTAAACATTAAAATCAGTTATTTATGTAAAAAGCTAAATACGATTTTCCTAACTCACAAAAAGACTAGAATGCTCAAAAATTAAAATGACATGTCTTGAAAAGAAAAACGGAAACTAAATAGCAACAATTGAAAGGAAAGGAGAAAAACAAAAAAGAGAAAAATGGTTAAGGAGTGAGTGTAAAGTGGAGAAAGCAAAAAAAAATAATGAAAAGAACAAATATTCATGACACTCTATGCGTACACACTTCCATACAGACAGTCACATGGGAACATGAACAGACAAACTCACACACACTGTGAAAAAAACTTGTACCAACGATGTGCATATAAAAAAAAATCAAGAAATATAAGTAGTCAATTGCTGAAACCTCTGATGAGTGGATGGATGGGTCTGTCTATTAAACTCTGGAGTCAGGATGCTGAAGGTAACATCAATCAGCTAAGAGACAAACCATTTACTTATGCATATCTATCTATCTATATATATATATATATATATATATATATATATATATATATATAGAGAGAGAGAGAGAGAGAGAGAGAGAGAGAAAGAGAGATTTAGGGAAATATATATTTAAAGGGTGCGATAGATAAATTGTCGTTTAAATTACTCAAAAATTACAATAATATCTCATTTTAACAGATATATTTACCAAAATACTAAAGAGTAAATTTATTCACTAAAATTGCCATTGGCTTCAACCGTGGCCTCCAGATGACTTTGAAATCTTCTGCAACTCTTCTGGATGGTCTCCTTGTTTAAATTGGTGAATGCTGCTAAAATCCTTGCCTTCAGTTCATCTTTGGTGTTTCAAGGAGTTTTGTTGGTCTCATGCTCAACTGCCCTCCACACATAATAATCAGGGGGTCGCAATTTGGGAAGTTAGGTGGCATGGTGCAGAATCCTGTGGCCAGACAGAGGGTCTTCCAGCAGCTACTCTCTTGATCCAGGGCAGCACTACCTCCTCAAGTCACTAGATGCAGGACTTTGCATTGAGTGAGGCTTTTTTGGAAGATAAATGGAGGAATAACATTGCCATCACTAGTGATCACTCCAAACACTCTGAAATATTCATATTGGAGCTTCTGATATGAATGCCAAGCAGTACAGCATGCTGTTTCCAAATTTCTGGTGGAGTGAATTGCATCATGGTGCTCTTTTTCTCACAGATGGTGCCCAACTGACCCTACTATACTGTGCAGTCGACAAAATCCAAAAGAAACGTACATGCACAAAATTAAAAATATAAAATAGTGACAATTTACTCATTGCACTCTGTAGAAAGACTGAGAGAAAAAAAGAAAGATATGGGTGGATTAATTAATGTAATTTCAATATTAATATTTACTACAGAATCCAGTACTTATAATTTGAAAAATATATGCAGTGCAAAATAATTCTTTTTTTATTAGCAGTACCAGTATCTTAATGATGTACCTGTTGAGCCTATGAAATTGTCGCACATAGAATCCAGAGGCAAATGAATCTTTTCTCTTGAACTTATTGTTAAAAAGGTTCTTATGGATAAGAGTTGGTTAATTTTTAATTAACAGGTGTGACAGGGTAATTCAACAATCTTTGTTAACCAAGGAATAAGAGTTCAATCCTTGGGAGCATAGTTAACAGTACCCATGTATATAAAGATATACCTTAAAAGGGAAAGAGAAACAAACAAATAAATATATGAGGGGGTGCTGAAAATTTCCCAATTATCATGGTTTAAGAAGATGAAAACGTTACATTCACTGAAAGTTTACAAAATTCAACAAACATTTTATGTAATCATTGTTTATGTATGTGGTTGTGTATGAGAGAGTGTGTGAGTGAACAAGTGAGAAGGATACAACAATATTTTAAGAAAAAGTTATTTTCCTTTAAGCATGAAATTAAGAAAAACTGTGGGCCACATTTTGCCATCATTGAAATAGATGGGCAGACAGATATGAACTAAGTAGAAATAACTGACAAGATTAGATAGATAGAAAGAAAGAAGACAGAGATATATGTATAGATGGACATAGCTAGATATAGCTTGATAGATAGATAGATAGATAGATAGATAGACGAAAAAGGCAAAGAGCAATAGATAGATAGATAGACAGACGAAAAAGGCAAAGAGCAATAGATAGATAGATAAACAGATGAAAAAGGCAAAGAACAATAGATAGCTAGATAGATAGACAGACGAAAAAGGCAAAGAGCAATAGATAGATAGACAGACAGACAGATGGAAAATACAATGATAGATATGAACTAAGTAGAATTTGCAGATATGATTAAATAGAAAGAAAGAAAAATCATAGCTAGAAAAGTCAAGGATAGATAGATAGAGATAGAAGAGTCAAGTACAGATAGAAAGATAGATAGAGAAGACAGAGATAGATAGATAGAAATGGCATAGATGGAAGGAAAGAAATAGCATAGATAGATAGAAAAGGCAAGAACAGATAGATAGATAGATAGAAAATGGAAGAATAGATAGATAGATAGAAAAGGCAAGGATAGATAGATAGATAGATAGATAGATAGATAGATAGATAGATAGATATGGACTAGATAGTCAGTGCTAACTTTCATAAAGCAAAGAGAAAAACTGTCACCGTTGAAAGAAAATTTAACTTCTTTTGCTTTTTTGTCTGGGCTGAGAAAAAAAAAATCATTATTTTTTCTCCTTATCATTAGGAAAAAATATGAGAAAAGAAAAATGAATGGAAAATTCTTTGCTAAATTTTTGAGAATCAGTTTACCAGACATAAAAGAACTAATCATTGCCCTCGTGTATTTAAGCAATTTTTTTCCTCTTTGTTTTCTTTTATTATTGTCTCTTGTCTGATTTTATCTAGTTCTGAAAATGATTGCTCTGCCATCTTGTTTTTGTTGAATGTCAGGTGTTCTCACCAAGGCTCAATCATGCTGACAGTACCTGTCAGAGTTTCCAAATGATGAAGGTACCAGCATCATCCTTTGGCCCATTCTTTAAATGCCGCTGTTGGTATTTGTTTGACAACAAAAGCAAAGGAATATGATTCAATTTTTTATCATTATTCTTATAAAAGTATGACTATGTTGAATCAGTTAATATTATCAACATGATGGTTGTGTAGCCAAGTGGTTAAAATATTTGATTTCAAAATATCAGACACCATTTTGAATCTCATGAAGGAAGGTAACTTCTTGATGTTATCGGCCTGGAGAGATGATCACATTGTGCAACACATTTAGAAAGTACCTGAAAGCCATACCACAGGTTGAGCCAAGCCTTGTAAGGGAAATTGGAACTTTTAGTGAGCTGTTGATAGTTGCATTCACCATAAAGTTGCAAGTCATCGTGACCGAGGGTTTGAGCATATTGGCCTCGTTCAGACTGTTCATCACTCCAAATGACATGCTCTCTCCCAGAAACTATACGGTCAGCTCGGAAGAGCTGCAGTATAAACTACAGGTGGGGTCTGTGGATGTTGAACAAACACAAATGTGCCTGAGCAGGCATCCGTGCCAGGGATTGGCTAGCTGCTCTAGTAGATAGGCGTACTTAGATATGAGCAGCCAGCCACCACATAATCAATATCATCTGATGAGCAAGCTCTTCCAAATATATGGGTGGATCAATCTACAATTTGTCTGTGTACTGAATATTGCCTCATTCTCTGGCCTGGTACTTCTACTAAATATCTTGAGATTCTTGACAGAATTCAAAGAAGAATCTGTAATGTAATTGATCCAGAGCTGGTATCTCAACATCAGTGACTTTCTCACTGATGTGACACGTTTTCCCTCAGTCTTTTCAACAAATATTTTTATAGCATTTTTTTCTGATGAGCTTTCATCCTTGGTGCCTCAGTTACATGAATTTAAGTATGCTACTACATTCAAATACCAGTTGAGTTTGTTAGATTCATCTATGCACAAATACCCTTGGGAAAAGTATGAATTCATCTCTTTTCCCCCCTCAGCTGTGGGTTTAATAGCAGGACAGACTGGATTCTTTAGCCTTGGTTGGCAACCAGTCTACCACAGAAAGAAATGGAAACTTACTGCAGGAAAAAAATCTGCCTCATCAGTCATGTATCAGAAGATACATGGTCATCCAAGCATGTATCACGTATGGCACTTAACTGACTGACTACATTGGAACTTAGTCTTACAGTTTTAGTGTTGAACTAGTGAGATGCAACTGTATATTCTATTCTAATAATTTTTTCTCACATTTCTTGCCTGTGAAACTCCCTCCCTATTTCTTGTTTTTTTTTTTTTTTCCAAGACTTCATTGTTGCTCACATGCTTGGTCCATGAAATTCTCAGTGTCCTTCTGTAGAACCACATTTCCGCTGCCTTGAGTCTCTTCTTCATCCTTCTGTAGGAGGTTTTTTAGTTTTATTTCAGTGTCTGCTATCAGTACCATGTCATCTGCATATCTTATGTTGGTAAGGTTGTGGCCGCCAGTGATGAATCCTGGTAGGATCTCCAGTTCCTTCAGAATTGCCTTGCTGAATAAGTCTGGTGAGAAGACACATCCTTGCCTTACACCTCTTTCTATTTTTGTATATTTGCTGAGCTCATTCTCGATGTGAATGTATGCCATTTGCTGCAGTATAGGTTCTCAATTATTCTGATATCTTTCCCGAATATATCAAGGTTGCTGAGCAGTTCTAGCAGGTCTTTGTGGCATACTTTGTCGAATGCCTTTGCATAGTCTATGAAACATAGATATACATCTTTCTGCATCTGTATTGCTCTTTCTGATAACATTCTAAGCATGAATACCGTGTTCCTTGTTCTGGTGTCTTTGATGAATCTGCACTGTTCTTGTTCTATCTCTGGCCCGATTCTGCTGCGCGCTCTATTCATCAGAATACAGATGAAGAGTGGCTCATTAGGCTGATTGTTCAGTGGCGCTTCCATTCATTTCTGCCTAGTTTCTTAGGTAGTGCTATGAAAATAGATCTACTAAGATCCTACTAATTGCATGAAACTATTTATAAGTCTGCTATTTAGTACTGAATATTTATTTATTTTATCAGTGAATTGCCATGCATTCTTAGGAAAAATACTGGAGTAGTTTCCTGTTGCTTTCCCCACAGTTTAAAATTCAGAGATTTCTTTCTCTTAAATTGATAGCCACTCAAGGCTAAGGAGCCCAGTCTACCTTGCTGGGAAATTGGAAAAAAGAGTTAGTTCTGTTGCAGGTATTATCTTTTACTTAGCTAAAGCTTTTAAAGGTAAATCCCTAAACAACATTCAAACAAAGACATGTTCAAGTGGCATGGGAATAAAAGTGAGGTTATTTGTCAGCCACTCATTGATCCCAGAATCCTAAAAATCAAATTCAAAGAGAGAAAGATAGAGAGAAAAAGAAAGAGAGAGAGAGAGATCATGTAAAACTGGATACAACCTGAAAATAAGACTGAACCATTTAGTGTGACATACATAGAAAACTGTGTTTATCATAATTTATATGTAATTTTAATTGGTGATTTTATTATTTTCAACTGTGATGTTTTTAGTGTTTTCATTTCTAGAAGAAAATGTATATGCCAGGTTGTTATTTTATAATGGCTTTCTACCTCAACTACCTCACAGAGCTTCCAAACAAGATTAAATACTAGGTACTAAAGGAAAATCTAAAGAAGGGTGCCAAAATACGTTACCATTTTTATTAAATGCAACAATGTAATAAGTGGCATAAACATGGTACTTACAGTCAATGAGGTTTGTACTACAATATTACTTTTGAGCTAAGGTGAGGTGGTCAACTAATATCTATGAATATCCTTGTCTTCCATGATGTGAGTCTGGATGTTGATTGTAGCACAATTGCTCTAACCTGTTTTCAGGATTGGACTGAACCTAGTTGTGGCTAGGGCCTTAATTCATCTTGGTTGTTCCTAGTGTATAAAGGGCATTAACAAACCTCACTAGGTGGTATGTTCTATCTAAAACTCTACACATGTTTGTTGTAAATCAGAGCAGTTCATTTTTCATTGGAAATTTTTTTAGTGTGAATTTTAATTGAGAGAAGATATTTTTTGAAGTTATTTGTGTGTATTTGTTGTGGTTTAAAGAAATTAATTTTCACAGAATATTTTGGGGGTGTTTACTGTAATTGATAAAAAATTTTCATTGGATAATTTTTGTATAGTTCAGAAAAGTTAGCTTTTCATTGGTAGATCTTTTGTTATTGTAATTCAGAAGAAAATATTTAATTGAAGAATTTTTGAGTATTTTTTGTAATTTAGAAATGTTAGAAAAAATATTTCAAATTATCAGCAATGTATTTCACAATTTGTAGTCATGGCGGAACCAGTTGTATTAGTTCTCAAAGTGACTTCTTGGCAGGGTGGCAGGCCTTTCAATTGTAAACATGAGACATGTGTACAGTATATAAAGTACATTAGCATGTGCATGAGAAAGTAGCTGTGAGAAATCTATTATTTTTGTTATTTTGATTAATATATCTATATTAAGTATATATTTATTTATGCCATATATACATGTACCACTGGTAGTGATTATACTGGTTTTATAACTTAAAAATAATCCCTTCCCCTCTACAAACAATCAGCTTTAACGGACCAGCACTCCCCCTCAGCTCATCAGTGTGGCTAGGTGTCCAGTTGCATCTAGCTAGGATTGAAACCTGACTGAATTGGTGTCAGTTGAGGATTCTACATGCAGCAGACAATGAAGGTGAATTTAAGTGTATTTATTTTTAGATAAACACAGTGACTGAGAGAACTTGATTTGATTTACTGAAGAGTCTCACATTATTATATAATTATTATATATATATATATATATATATATAATTATATATATATATATATATATATATAGATAGATAGATAGATAGATAGATAGATAGATAGATATACTGAGAGAAAATAAAATTACAACCTCTTGAAATTATGATGTTTCAATTTACTCAAGATTAAATTTGCAGTTAATATAGTTAGGTTAATATAAATGATCACACATATTGTTTTCAAAAGTAACTAGTGTATCAACTAGTGTAAACCTGATAATATTACACTGTCAGTATTACATAGTCTTGTACTCACCCATGAATATAATTCTACTGAGAGTGAATAGAATTCTGTAATGCATATTGCATGTGAATTGCAGTTAGACAAGCCAAGTATCATCCCATCATATCCCATACATGTTCAGTGTTCTGGTAATCATGTTGAGGAGCACAGGTATTGACCTGCTGGAACAGTAGATCACCTTCCTGCTTTCTGGGAATGGCAGTTAAACAGGTTGAACAATATTCTGGATGTTCTCTCTGCGAACATAAAAGTCTGGCAAGAATTGCAGCTAACAGCCTCCTATTCTGTGCTGCCAGGATTCTGTGTTAACAGTGAAATACACTATGGAAGTTGTTGCTCTGCTGGTCTATGTTGAACAAACAAATGACCATCTCTTATCACTAAACCTAAGCAGGTGTCAATCGATTCTCCAGGTAACCTTATTGAGACGAGAATATGTAAGTTTGGCACAAGACAGGTATACTTAAAATTATACTTTAAATAAACAATTCCTAATTATCCTGATTGACACTCTTGTAGCTACAGGCTTACAGCCATATCATATAAAAGAACTGGTTCTTGTATGATTACTGAAAGCAACATTGAGCCTAGTCAGTACCTAGATGGGTAACTGCTTAGGAATATCAGGTGCTA